AAAACAAAGAAAAGAATAATATCCAGAAAACAGCAAAGTTCTGTTGCTGTTGTGGTACCTGGCACCATTTTTTCTATTAGACTCTTAATCACCATCTGGAAAGAGAACATTCTAGAGTAATATCATTAAATGTAGCTCTGATAAAGCATGGTCCCTACTATGTATCATAAAGCAGGTACAAGATATTTTACATTCAAAAAGGTATGATACAGTACCATCCTACATCAATAATAGTAGATTCAGTTTTGGTTTGAAATATACTTTGTCTGCAAATAAGATTGCTACCCCTGTTTTTTCTGGGCTCCTGTCACATGGAGAATTGTTTTCTATCTTTTCACTTTCAGTCTATGGGCTTCTTTTTGCACTAGATGTGTTTCTTGTATACAACATATTGTTGCATTTTGCTTCTTACTCCATTTTGCCAGTCTATTTCTCTTGATTGGTAAGTTGAGGCCACTGACATTGCTGGTTATAACTGATACGTACTGACTTATTATTGACATGTTATGGGCCTTTTGTCGACTCTTTTTTCTTTTTCACCTTCTCCTTTTAGTTTCTTGCCTTGCCTACTTGATTTGCTCTGTTGGGCCTCATGGTGTTTTTGCCTTCATTGTCTTTTTCTACGATCTTGTTTAGAATTCCTTGTAGTGCTGGTTTGGTATTCATGTAGTTTCTCAGGTGTTCTTTGTTTTGGAAGTGTCTTATTTCCCCATCCATTTCGAAAGAGAGTTTTGCTGGATACATCAGTCTAGGTTGGAGGTTGTTCTCTTTTAGTTGAAATATCTCATTCCAGGCTCTCCTTGCCCCAAGGGTTTGTGCTGAAAAGTCTGCTGTGATTCTGATGGGCTTTCCTTTGTATGTGATTTGTTTCTTTTCTCTGTTTGTAGTATTTTGTTCTTCTGTTGGGTTTCTGGGATCTTGATTATTATATGCCTAGGTGTAGATTTTTTTTGATTGTAGCTAGTTGGGGTCCTATATGCCTCAGTTATCTGAATGTCAA